CTTTTAGTAGTTAGGGTTAGATGGAATTCAATTAATCTTTTATGTCTTGAACAATTTTTTATGTTAATTTTCCTTTTTATCATAAATGAAATTATCTTTTCTTAATGCTTTATATGAGCTTGAATCTTATATATTGATCTTAGGTAAATGCATGACAATAGGAGTGTTGGTGCATGATCTGTATATGATAATTTCATCGTAAGCTTTATGATTCTAGGGATAGACATAGGGTTTGCGTAATCTTGATATTCTTGAATTTAATGCTTGCTTTCTTGGGGAATAATCGGGGAACTAGGGTACTTGCAAGATTGTAAAGATTTAGGGTAACAAGGGATTGAGCCCTAATTACATAAGAAAGAATCGATTAGATTGATATTAAGGACGATTAATTTAAAGAAGGAATTCAGACATAATCGAGAGATTGAAGGAAATCGAAACTCTAGCTACGTTTTATTTACATCAGTTAAATCACATCATTAAATTCTTATTTTTTAATTCTTGCAATTAATTAGTTTTAATATCTTAAATTTCAAATTCAAATTCTGTTCCAAATACAATTTCGATTGTCCAACTTAAGTTGCAATAGTGAATTAATGCTTGAGTATAATCCTCGTGAGAATGATCTCTTATTTAATCATTATATTACTTGTACGACCGGTGCACTTGCCGTGAGCACAACAATTTTCATCGCTAGTCAATGTTTTTGTGGCGGTAGGTGTTTTTCCCCACGAGACTAAGGCAAGTCGCCCTTGCCATAAGTTCTCAATGCCTCCTTTGGATTAGCCCACACTAAAAAGGTCCTTAACTACCCCAACAACAATGAAACTCAGCGCTTGGTTGCCTTAGACAAGGGGCAATCTTTTGAACTCTAATCTCTGACTCAGGCAACAAATCACAGGGCCCACAAAATTGATAAAGGCCTCGTTGTGATGGCAACATTTTTTAGAAGCTTGCTATAGCTAAATTGGATCTCCACATAATGAACAAAAAATAATAATAATAAATCTCATATTAATAAAAGGGAACAACATATTTTTTAAAGGGGAACACTTTCCTTAGTACTAGGAAATTCTCATATCACCCATGAGTCTTATTGACAGAAGAGAATTTTCAATTATTTGCTCTGTTATTATTGTTTGGGTATTCTTTTTTATCTGATTAAGTATCAACATTATGAATCTTACAACATGTTTTTGTCACTTGAACCAACCAATGACTATGTTTGTATCTCAATATCGAAAAGAAGTTTCTCTACGTTGTTTTTACTTTTTTAACAAAGCAGCATGCGAGATTAATTTTAATAAGCTATTGTTGGAATAGCCGACCCCAACTTGCTAACGGATCCCGATTTAATAATTAAATTTACACAACCAAAGGTGAACTTGCATATTTTCTATTAACTAGCCAAGTTTTCAATTATTTGCTATGTTTTTGTTTGTGTGGGGTTTCTTTGGTATCCAATTCTTAGTCTTCTAAATGGAAGACAGCAGTATTACTAATAGCAACCAATGACCATGTCAATCAATCTACCATTTTTTAACTTTATCTTTTGTAAGCTGTTGATGGGATAGCTTACTTCAACTTGATAATGAGTAGGAAATTCCAAATTCAAATGTTTCTTTTCCAAAATCGTTGTGTATCTCCCAGTTATTAACAAATAAATTTGAATGAATATTGCACATTGAATTGATCTTGATATGTATATAAATAATTATTTATACATTTAGAAACATGATTCTTCGCCCTGCCGTTTTGCGTAGTTATTAATTGGTTGCTGAATTATTTATAAGAAACATAGTTACCAGAGATTGTGATATATGGGTACGGCAAAAATGACCATTTCCACTCATAAAAGGGTTAAATTATCTTATTTGCAACTGATATTATCAAGAAGGCCGGATGAGAAGATTTCAAAAAAAAAAAAAAAATTACGTGCGGGCCATTTTCTGCATAATTATTAGGGAAATATAAATATTATGTTGTAGGAATGGATTTTTTATCCTGCAATTTTTTTTTTAACTATGTACTACGAGTAAACATAATTAAAATATTAAAGTTGCTAACGTAAAGGAGAAAGAAAAAATAACTTTAATATTATGACTATATAGTACTCATAATACATAGTTAAAAATGATTGCAAAATGTATTATTGCAGGACATTTGAGGAATCCTAAAATATTATGGGGTATTAGTTTCTCCTGATACTAGAGAAATTTTTTCTTACAAATTTACAAATTACATTAAATACAACTAGTCAGACTTCAATCAAGAGTGTATGACTAATCAGACAGTGTAGTTTGTAAATTTGTATGGAAAAAATTTATCAATATAACCTTCCTATTTTTTGCTGATTCCAAAACTTATGGGACCCACCTAATAAAAAATGACTTTTTATGATGTTTGCTCGAAGATTATTTTTTCCATGCAATATATCCCAATTAGTATTCTTGGGAGCAAGAAACTACTTTTGCTAAGAATCTAGTGCAAAATACAACGGCAACCACTTTTCCTTGTGGTCCTGTCCCTCCATAAAATTGGTGTCCCAAAACCTAATACTGCCCATTTTTCTGGTAGAAATTCGATGCATTTGAAATGACCCACCAATTTTTTTTATTCACATTTCGCACTATGATTCGAATTCTTTTATGTGATCTTTTGATATGAGGTGACTGGATTTAGAAAATTATATATGATACGACAGAGCAATAATTTTTTTTTTCTTTTAATATAGTCGGGAATTGAATTCATTTTAGCACCTATTCTCAAATATTGATTGGTGAGAAAGGGTTAAAAAAAAAAAAAAAACAGGCAATTCCAACGGTGACATTCGCGTGTAAAACAAGTCTAATTCTCTCGAACTTGATAGCATGAAATATAGGTAACAAAGGTCTTCTAGTTAACCTGAATGATGTTTATTTCAAAACCTATATATATATAATATGTATACTATACACACCTATATATGGCGGAAGTTTGAAACGATTCTCATTAGTTCACACAATAAATAAATTTAGAAAGCACAGCCTCGATTAAGTCACAACTCTTAACTCGTACGAGACCAGAAGAAGGAAATGGTCCTAGCTAGGAAGCGTATGTGATATTCCACTTCTAATAAATATGGTGACGAATATATACTTTGTCCACAACCAGCTTTGCACGAAAGCAACATTTGATCAGCCCCTAAGACCCAATTGTAGTAGAAAGCTAATATGATGAAACAAGTAACAACTCATTTCTCTACCTTCTCCTAAGTCCACAAGAGCCTGTGATTCCTTTTATACCGTAATAAATATACGCGGAAACACCTGTGTAATCCATTGAAACTTTCCATTCAAAAATAACTGTCGTTCGTACGTCATGTTTGAAACTTCCTGTATGCCACTTGTTCTACAACATGATCACTAGCCCATAAAAGCTGAGTTAGTGATCTAACTAACCCGGGAGGGGAGCAAATAAACATCAACATGTAATATGGTGCCATCATAATCATGATGGATTAATGGTGATAAATATATATATATATATATATATATATATATATATATAGGAAGTTACACAATCATTATCGTTTATTTGATTATCAATGGTTACGATTTTCTCACATGACATGATCATGTTAAATTAGACATGAGAGAAATAGATCTTATCTCTCCAACTACCCATTTTCAATTTTCACTTAATTAATTAACAATAAGTGGAAGCTTATCTCTCTAAAAAGTGGAAATAGATCTTCTTATGTGAAAAAAAAAATATGACATTGTCATATGGAAAGATCACAATCCTATAAAAGTGAATTAACGGTTATGATTTTATAATTATCTATTTCAATATTTTTTCTCTCTCTTCCTTTATTATCATTGATCCACCTTTATATGATTATGATTCTCTTTTTTTTTCCCTTATCCATAAAAAGCTATGCATAATCCAGGATAGGAGCGCGTAATTTTATGATATATTTATGGAGAAAATATTTGTCTTTTTAAATGACACACTCTCACAAAGAGGTGAGACTCGCACCTTTATATTTTTTTTATTCACTCTCTCTCCTCCTTTATTTATGAATTTCTTTCACTTAAAATCATACACATTTTTTTCGTATATTTATTAGTTCCCCACTAAGTTAAAATAGGTTTGATGTTGGACAGAAAGGTGTTAAATAAGGTACTTCCAATTGGGAAAAAGCAACAAATAAAGGCATATATTTATTGATAACACCTAGTAATTTGGCGATTCTTGAAACTATTAATTAAAAAGAAGACTACTATAACCCAGACAGCTGCCATTTGATTTGAAGTTTGAAAGCCACTATTTTCAAATGGCTATAGAAAAAACTTCGGGCCCATTTACGTACACCTGCAATATCATATTTTTTTTACGAGTTTGTAATTTTTAATATAAATATCATAACTTTTATTTTATTTTATGAATTAGTATATTTTTTGGATCACTGGCGTGGCTAGTTACGTACCCAATTCCCGCTACAAGATTTCTCCAAACAAGTCATTCTCTAGTTCCATCGGGATACAAACTACATGCATGGATCTCACCGCTTTTCATTAACTGATGTACACACTTTTTTTTCTTTTTCTTTTTACGTGCTCTACCTCAATTTTCTACGTGACTTTGGCATGGAAATCCTTATAAACACACCACCTTGCTCATCGGAGCACACGTATGGAATAGCTGTACTCAGCATCCTTCAAAGTTCAAACACTATAGGATAAGAGTCAAGAGTTCCATCTCATCCTGTTCAGATATACAAGTTACAAACTAACCCCAAAAAAAAAAAAAAAAAAACTTGTGTATGATATTACATTAGTATCCAAGTAAACCCAAAAACTTTTTATTGGGAACCCAAATAATTCGAGAACACTGGGATATATATCAATCCCTTATTAGCTGTCATGGTCCCCACACTCAGCTAGTCCGCCACCAAAGACAAATCAACCCATATCTCTTTTGCACATAACACGTTTGTAATATTTTCCCAACGACTTTCACCCCCCCCTCCAAACCCCAATGAACCTTCACGTTCATAATTGCCGCCTCCTCTTAATGCACTCCGTATATATAGTTTCACAACTTTGCATGCACTTCAATATCCTCACCAAATTCTCTTGGCTTTTTTTGTCCCTCTCTTTCTCCTTAAAGTTGTTTGCTATTTGCCAACCAAATTAATTAAAAGCAAGCATACCCATCATCACTACATGAAATGGTAAGTAAGATAATTATTGGCCTTCTACTCATAGCCTTTGCGGTAGCCACCTCTGCTGGCAACTTCAACGAAGACTTTGAGATAACATGGGGTGATGGTCGTGCCCAAATCCTGAACGATGGGCAGCTTCTCACCCTGTCCCTGGACAAATCCTCTGGCTCTGGATTTCAATCCAAAAATGAATACTTGTTTGGAAAAATTGACATGCAGCTAAAGCTCGTGCCTGGTAACTCTGCAGGAACCGTCACAGCATACTATGTAAGCGTCCTTGCTTGCATGTGTTTCTTTATTAATTTCTTTGCTTTGTCAAAGGTTTAACATGATCAAATGGAATTAATCAAATAATAACTATGTATTTGCTTGTAATTGCTGCAGCTATCTTCTCTTGGGGATGCTCATGACGAAATAGATTTTGAATTTCTGGGTAACTTAAGTGGTGATCCTTATATTCTTCATACAAACTTATTCACACAAGGGAAAGGGAACAGAGAACAGCAGTTCTATCTATGGTTCGACCCCACCAAGGACTTCCACACATATTCCATTCTTTGGAATCCTCTGAGCATCATGTATACCTCCTCTCTCTCTTATGGCCCGCTTCATTGAATAAAATGAAAATTACTTCATATTTATTTGTTTATTTATTATAACTTAATCTAAGAAGTTAACATGGAAAATAATAATACTTCATTAACTGAGAAATGAAAACCATATTTACTCCCTTATTTCTGCTATTCTTCGAAGGGTGTATTTGAGAGTCAATATTAAGAGGAAAATGGAAAGTTTTGCATATGTTTTCTTTTTCTATGTAAGTTTTTAAAAATATGTGAAGGAAATAAGAGATTTTTGTAAAATCCTTCAATAATTCTCTTACCCTTAAAATCACCCTTCAATTTGAGAGGTTTGAAAAGAAAAATATAATAAATTACTTACACCGCCCTTATTCTCTTTCTCAAATTTTTTGATTTTCCTTTTTTCTTAAAATTATTTGAATTTATTTGATAGAAACTATTTATTTAATATTTCCAATTACATTATTTATTAAGATAAGTGGTTTACTTTTATATATGTCATTTATAACTTTTTTATAATTTTCATTTAGTTATAATGTGAAATAGACAATTTTTTAAGGAAAAAATTAATTTTGAGAGAGATAAAATAATTTTTAGAGGAAGAAATATTTTTTAAATGTGAAAATTACATAAATAATGTTTTTAGAAATTTTAAATTTAATTTCATTTGTGAAATATAATAATTATATTATTTTTTAAGAAAGGACAAAATTGTAAAACTATATCATTAACTCTCCATTTTTCTCCTTTATTGTATATATATATATATGGGGTAAACATTTCTGCAGCCACTTTAATTAAGCTTATCTACAGCTATCCTTTATAATTATGTTCTCTCGGGAGAACATATTTTTCCTATATATATATATATATATATATATATATATATATATATATAGGGTTTGCATCTATCATGTCACATGACTCACAAAAATTTCCTACACACACAATATTTTGTGGGGTCCGCATTTTTTGAAGCAAAATAAAAAAAAAAAAATTAAGGCACACAAAACGAATCTCTATAACATTACACAATTACTTTTCCTACAACATAACTTTTATAAGACCCATATATATGTATATGAGTAAGGTTATACTTACAACCTTTTTTTTACAACCATATCTTAACACTGTTGATTTTCGTCAATCAACGGTGATCATTTATTGTGAATTAATAATTAATTATTGAGTTTAATTTGCGAAAATCATAATCGTTGATTGGCAGAAATCAACGGTGTTAAGATATGGTTATAAAAAAAAATTATAAGTATAATCTTCCTCATATATATATATATATATATATATATATATATATATATATTTGGTACATACCTTTATTATATTTTTAACTTCCAAAAAAAGGACCCTTCATTTTTCTTCCTCTGGCTCTCCCTCTCCCTCCAACTTACCAAACACACCTTAATTCTCTCTAATTTTAAAATGTAACTATAACTAGAAGATAACTTAATTTCATGAATGACTTAATTTCAATTTCCAAAAAAAAAAAATTACTTAATTTCCCTCATTTACATATCAGATTCTCTGTGGACGGGACACCCATAAGGGAGTTCAAGAATTTGGAATCAAAAGGCATTCCTTTTCCAAAGAACCAAGCCATGAGGATATACTCTAGCCTTTGGGATGCAGATAATTGGGCCACAAGGGGAGGCCTTGTGAAAACGGATTGGAGCCAAGCTCCATTCACTGCCTCCTACAGAAACTTCAACGCTGAAGCTTGTGTTTGGACTTCATCTTCAGGGTCCTCTTGCTCTTCCAACGATTCTAATTCATGGTTGAAACAGTCACTGGATGCAACAGGGGAAGCCAGAATTCAATGGGTGCAAAAGAACTATATGATTTACAACTACTGCACTGATACTAAGCGCTTCCCACAAGGCCTCCCTCCTGAATGCTCACAAGCTTGAAAACAAAACTTTCATTATTATAAAAGTTTCCCCACAGCTCATAAGTTAAACTTTTTTTTTTTTTGTGTTGTACAAATTAATAAAAAGACTATTATCCTTCGTTTATATTTCATAATATACTTTTTATGCACTCCATTGTATGTAGAATAGTATGCAAAAGAGATTCATTGTAATTTTGGTTATTAATAAATTTGTTTGAGAGAGTCATAAATTGAAAAGGAATTGTGGACTATACCTAATATACGGTTGTTTTCTTCCTGTTCTTCTTCCTCCAAAGGTCAGAGGTCAAATAAAATTCTTAGAAGAAGAAACAGAATGGAATGTATAATGACTGAATTAAAAATCCCTTTATGTTTTTGCTGGGTCAACAAAACCTCAGGTTCATGTTTAATTGGTAAAGACGTTTGCTTGGTTGAATTTTTTTCTTTCTTTTTTTCTTCTCTTGGTTTAGTTTAACCATATATATTAAGGGTTTTATTAATCTCATGTCATAGAGATGAACTTGTGGGCTCCACCATCTGACAAAAAAAATAAAAATGGCAGAGTGTATAGAAGATAAATTTGATGACTCTATTCATGGAATATGTCTGGGGGAGTTAATTTTCTGAACGCCTATTTTGAAGTTTTGATATTAATATTGACCAGGGGTGGACTCAGGGGGTGCTAGGGTAGGCGGCCGCTCCCCTCAAAATTTGAAGAAATTTTTTAACATAAGTTATTGCAAGAAATCTCCATTTTTTCTCTCCATTAATGTGAAGTTGTGTTCTCCTACCGCAAAGAGTTTATAAAGCTTCTTTATATTCTCAGGTCTTATATCTATTCAAACCCCTCTAAATCTGATTGCAGTTTCAACTTGAAACTTACAGTTTAAACTTATATTATGCTTAGATGTTAGCACAAATCTTCCTATCCATGAATAAAAATAAGAAGTCCAAGAGTCTTATGAAAGAATGAACCTTATTCTTTCGATCCCTCTCCTTTTCTGATGATTCGTGACAGAGAGGAAAGTGAGGGGCAGAAGGATTTTGGTGATTGTGCTTCTTGACAATCTGTCTCTTCTAATTTATCTTTGGCTTTTTTTTTTCTTGTTGGGCTAACAGTGAGTGAATAGAAAAAGAGGTTAAGGAATGAGAGAGGTCTGCTCTGAATTATCTATTTAGATTATAGCAATTAGTACATATTTTTTTGTGAAATCTAAACCTCTCTCTTCTCTTTTTCTTTGTTTTCTTTGCATAAAAAGTTTTCATTTTAGGGGTTGAAAAGGTGTAGTTTTTTTCAAATTGATAGTAGATTTTACGGTGACATTTTTCATCTCTCTCTCTCCTTCTTCCTCTCTATAACAAGTTAAAAGATGTATTTATGAATTATGTTCTCTGGATTGAGGTTTCGGCCTCCCACATATTGTGGTTGAAAAGAGGAACAAATATTTAATTTTTCGTATTTTAGCCTCTCATATATTATATTTGAAGAGAGAAACAAATATTTAAATTTTAGCCCCCCACAGAAAAAATTCCTGGGTCCGCAACTGATATTGATGAATGGGTTATATGATGAAATGTATCGGCCTAAACCTCCCTCGTTGCTGCTAACTGCTGTGACTTTGATATATGTATTTATTTATTTTTAATATTTCTTATGTTGTAAAAAATGAATTTATCTTCTATATATACATAAAAGTGTGTGAGGCCATACGAGTAGAAGAGAAAAAAAAAATAGGTCTCATATATTTTTATGTGTGTAGGAGATAAATTTATCTCCTATAACATGAGAAACATTAAAAAAAATTCAATCAATTTGATGTAACTTTAAATTTAATTTCTAAAATCACATAAAATGTAGAGTTACGAATAAAATGCACGAATCTATAGCATTTTTTTTAATATCTCTTAAAAAGTAGTAGACATCAAGCACAAATTATGTATTGATTTTTTTTAATTACTTGAATAAAATCATATGCACAAGACGCAATTCAATGAAAAATATATATTACAATACGTAAGTTATATGCATTAACCACAAGTAACACTAAAAGTCGTGACCGTAATATTAATTTGACTGGTGACATTACTCGATTGCATTAGTATAAGTTATAACTCATGGCCACGATTTTAGTCATGCAACTTTTTTAAAAAAAAAAAAATCAGAGAATCATGTCTCAAACATTTAATATTAAAAAATAAAACTATGACAATTTTATTATTTATTTATTTTAACAAAACCCCGACCACAAAGTTAGGTGAAACCCATGACTTTTATCCAAATTACATAATTCTAAAAATTAAATTTCAAGTTAGGCTAGATTAATTAAAAAAATAAAAATTGCACCAGTCTTAAAAAGAAAATAGTCATTTTCTCTCCATCTTAACACAGACTATAATAACAAGTTAGCAGAGTATACACACAAAATAAAAGAGAAACAAAAAGACGTTGGATACCTCGCAGATTGAAAAATAAAGTATAATTTAGCTCAATTTGTGAGAAAGGACTCCAGTTTGCTGGCATATTTTCCTAGCGTTTTGCCTCGAATCCAATCATACTTTCTTCATAGTGAAAAAATAAGTTAAGGTTCCATGCACCCGGAAACCGGAAATGATTCATGATCATAATCACAATACAAGTGAAACCTAAAATTGTGAAGAAGTAAATCAACTTTTTTGACCCCGAAAAACAAATGAAAAAGAGAGACAAAAAAAAAATAGCCATTAGTTTTTTATTAGATCACCATTCAATAGGGAATTGTATTTGATTGTTCACAGGAATGCAAAAAATCCACCTTTCTAGAAAAGAACGAATATATAACTTCTGCTACACATTGAAATATACATCATGCGTGGATAAAAAAAAAAAACAATTCACGCCCAAAGAAGGTGGATTCCAATCCTGAGTAGGGCACCTGTTGGTATTTACCCAAAAAAAATAAAAAAACTTTTACGTGAACAAATTAAACAGGCAATAAAAGGGTGATCGAGCTCAGGATTGAAATAACTCAACTTGAATTCAAGTATCATTAACATTATATTAAATATAAACGACGAAAGTGATAAATATAAGCTTTTCCTACATCTGAAACTCTACTCAATTGCACCAAACAAATTATTTTCCTTACGGTGACCTATTCTTATGTACACAAACAGGATTTAAGAAACATCTATAAGAACAGCAAAATTGACTCTCAAAAGATCTCAAAATTACATCAGGAGGCCAGAGTACCGCACATCCAATTGGCCTACTGTTCCTCCTGTTTTCCTAACACATCACGCCAGATGCAAACACGGGTTGATCACAATGGCACCAGCGCTTTTCTTTCCACAGACCCTATTGACCTCCCTGTTAATCATCAGAAGCAGGGTATCATTCAAATAACACCAACACAATGCAAAGCAAAGGACCATCATTCTCAATTTCCCATCTACCTTAAACATAAATACCAGCAAGTAGAGCAACTGATAATCCAAGACTCATTCACAAGCCTTCATGCAAGAAAGGCAAATCCTTTACTGGCTATTAAAATCTCACAAATTGGCGCTTACAAAGCTCAAGTTTGAAAAATAACCCAGTATGCATAATTCTCAACAATTCAAGATCCATTCTCTTAAATCACTGTAAAGGTAATCATGCCAACAATGTAAAAAGTTTGAAAAATGAATTATGCTGTCATACTCCTCAAGTGATGTCTCAATACGTATCATAAAGATAATCCCACAGCTTAAAGGCCAGGAATTTGGAGACAAGTTTTTCATTGAAAGCATTCAAAAATCACATCCTTTGGATTATCATTTTTCAGCCACAGAAAATAGGTCATCACCAAGCATTTAAAATTCATTTCATTAAAACAAAAAATATATGCTACCAAGACATGACATTGAAAAGTGGATGAACCACATATTAATCAACATCGCAACCTTGAGGGCATGGTCTCTTAGCTACAAGTCAATTTGCTTTTCACTTGGTGCAGAAATCAATTATCAAGATAAACTTTGAAGAATTTCACAATAATAACTGAAAAAAGGTATGACAAACAAGTCATGAAAACATCCTCCCATAACAACATCAAGGAAATCATGCAGAACGAGATTTTAATTTCTTCAGGCGTTTGACAGATGCGGAAACACCCTTTATTGCCTTCCTGGCCTTCTTCAGTTTCGGCTTTTTGGTAGGGGGAAGCATCTCCCTGATGGGACCTGGGGGAACACCCTTTTTGAGTGCACTTCCTCTGGGTGTAACAGAGGGAGGAATTCTCAAGCTCTGAGGAGGTAAAGGACTCTGTGGCTTCCAAACCAAGTTATTTTTCATGGAAAATCTTACCTTCTTTGTACTTTTCTCCCCACTCTCTGCTACTGCAGTGTCTTCATCATCCCCACCATTCAAATCAGAATCCTGAGATGCCTTTCCTATTAAATTCTTTGTTCTCTTTCTCTTCTTAGATACAGTTCCGGTAGATGTAGCTTCAGGTGTATCACATACACTTGCAACTCCATCCTCCAAACCTGCTTCGGCAGCAACCTTCTCGAACTGCTTTTGGAGATTCGAAATCACAGTTTCGTTCAATGATATGGTGCCCTCGTTATTAACTTGTTCATCATTTGAGCTTCCACCGTTTTCACTGCCTATATTTTCATTTTCATTCTCAGCAGTGTTCTTCTCGGAAAACAAATCAGATGCATCACTCTTCTTCTTCTTATTCTTCTTCTTCTTCTTCGCCTTCTTGCCACCATCAACAGAGTCTTTTTTATCCTTCTTGCATTTCTTCAACATCTTACCATTAGCAACAACCTCAGCAGGTCCTAAACCACCTTCAAAAGCATCTACCTCCATGCCATTCGCAATGGGAACCAAACTCGGCACTTCATCTTCATCCTGATCACCAAAATCAGGAAAGGAGAACGAGAACTCAAACCCAGAAGACTCTGCATCCTTCTCAAGCTTCAAAAACTCCTCATGAAGCCCAAACAACATCTTCCTATTCCCCTGACAGCACTCAGGAGAAGAACCAAGCTCATAAAACTTACTAGAAAACCCCATAACCAATGCAATAGTTCCAAGAACAACAACATCATCACCAGAATCAACCTCACCCCCAGCCTTCTTAACCTCCAACAACCTCTTCCCCATTTTCAGAAGCACATCAAACAAACCAGACTTAATCTTCCCAAACAAGACCTTATCAGGCAACTTGCCCATAGCAGAGAAAAAAGGCTTGAAAAGCACCTCAAGTAGCTCCGATTTAAGATTAAGGGGAAGGAAAGGCCTAAGTTCTTCGATAAAAACAGTGGCAATGTGGTAATTAACACCATTTCCCTGCAACTTATCTTCAGCAGAGAAAGTGGCCTCATCTAAAACATCCATGAGTCGCTGGGCGAGTTCCAAATCCCACGAATTCTTCTTGAGAAGAGAAAAGAACTTGGAAATAAACCTCCGAATGAGAAGATAGAACTTGTCTAACCTGAGGGCGTCGATCCCGGACCACTCACGGCGCATTGTGAGCAAGAAGGTGGAGAAGTACTGAACGGAGAGGCTGAGATCGACGGCCAAGAGGAGCGAGGAGAGTCGATCGATGAGTTCAGCCTGAAAGACAGGCTTATCGGCGTGCCAGACGCAGTAGAAGAGACCCTTCCAGAGCTTCTTGATGTCGTCGTCGGGGAGCTGATGGGACTGAGAGGGAAGCCATGACTTCATGAGAAGTCGAAGAGCCTTCTCCCTTATCGACTTGTCACAGCAAGCTAGCTGCTTTATCAGTGACCGACCAATCACGGAACCACCGTCCATGGAGAAAAACGATGCACAAACCCTAGGTACGTTTGTTCCCGACGACACAAACAGGGATTCTAAAGCTACGTTTTGGGTTTAAATTCCGATTGGAAACCCTAAAAAACGCTCTCTTTTTTATTGGCTTAAAAAAAGTTACAATTTGCAGTTCTTTTTTATTTATTTTTTTGTAAACAATCTTCAGCTCTTAAATATAAGTTGAGAAAAGGAGACGGCTAATTGATTTTTGGGCCGGATTGAGCTAGGTCCAAAATAGTTAGTTAATAAGATTTTTTATCTCAATCTTTTTTTTTAAATCCTAACGAGACTCATAGATTTAAAATATTATTTAGTATTTGAGGGATTTTAAGATTTTCTTAAAAGATTTTTTTTACAATCAAAATTTCATAATATTGGATTTTAATAGAATTTATAAGATTTGAAAGGATAATATAGATTTATAAGATTTCAAAAAACTATATGAATTTTTAAGAAACATTCAAAATTACAAGAATCAATAAAAAAAAATAACATAGAAATGCAATGATATTAATAAAAAAAATAAAATCTAATATAATTTTCTCAATTAATAAAACATAATATAATTTTTAATAAACATTCAGAATTTCTAAACAACAACTCTCCAGATATCTAAAGTTATACCAGTATCCACGATTAGAATTTTCTCATTAATGCTTTTGGGTTTGACTAATGGGTTGAAAATCATCTTCTTCATTTGATATCAGAGCTATGTATATATGATTATAAAATCTAATTTTTTTATTTATTAAAATAATTCTAAATTTGCATATAGAACCTAAAGTTCGTGACAAAATTTCGTTTGGAATTTTTTACAATTGATCTTGGAAATCTTGGGATTTTTGATCTACATGATAAGAGTTTTGTAATCATATATCATATGTATATTTTCATTAAGTATTCTAAGAAAATTTCAAATATGAATTTTTGGATTTTATTTCATGAAACTTCAAAAAGTTTTTTAAATTATTTTCAATCGATACATTAAAACCTTAAATTGCTTTGGGGTTTTTGAAAAACAAGTTTTTAGTTATCTATTGACAGAAAAATTGTTTGAAATCATTTCTTATAGAGAAAGAATTTCGTTCATGAATATGTTGTTACGAAATATAGGGTTCATATTATGAAAGTTTCAATCTTTCTTTAAATTGATATTGTTTCATTTATGTAAAATGAAAATTGGTTTGAGGGTTCTAGTTCCCTTGTTATTTTTCCATTGTTTTATGTTGTTTTTAATACAAAAATCACATATTTTTGTGTCAAGAAAAATCGCGACTCATTACTTGAATAATATTTTTTTAAACTTTAAAAGCTCCCAAAAATTGCTAAAAATTCTGCTGTCTTTGATATGGATTATATTAGAATCTTGTTGGTTTGTTATTTTTTGGTTGTTTTGTGATGAAAATCACTTAAAAATCTATTATTTTTTAGCTTTGATGAAGCTCCGGGTTTCGAGTAGGTCAACCCGCCAAAAGAAGAAAAAAGACACTACAATAGATAAATCTCAAGAAATCCTAGGGGTTAGGGTGAGATTTTGATAGAGACATTCTATTTATATTTCTCACTAAAAAGTCTCATGAAATCTACACCAATAGAAAACAAATTAAAATCGTCAGATTTTTGAATACCATAAGATTGTTTTTTCTTTGTTTAGGATTCTGATTGAATACCAAGGTATTTGGACGTACTCTAAAATAATCTTTTAAAATTCTAATCGAATAACACGTGACTTTTTTTTAGTCTTTTAAAATACTAATTGAATACCAATGGATTTGTTTGTCCAAAAATAATCTATTAACATCATTTGAAATCTCAATCCAATACATCCCTTAGTTTTAGCATTTTAACTTGTGTATTACTCGTGCGATGCACAGGGAAAGATCAAAAAGTTTGTCGACGACCATCGTGGATTAATTTATAAAAGAAATAACGTGTCACTATTTCTCTCTCTATATATATATCTATATATATATATATACATATATATATATATATATATATTAGTGTATTACCAGTGCGATGCACAGAGGAAAAAAATCGATTTGTTTGTCTCGTAAAAATTAACGCACATTGTAAAAGTATACCGCTGTATTTTATGCAATTAAGATAATGAATGGTCTTCTAGATTACCACATTTTACTTGAACTATATATGAAGTATTTGTTAGGATATTAAATGCACTAACTCAAATATTTGTCAACTTTACAGGTACAAAAAGTTGAATTAGGTACCTCAAAGTGTTAGTTAGAAGCAACGACCCACCGGATTGAGCTCATTTTGTCATCTCTAACTGTAACATGGTTTGTTAGACAATAAATATAGGAGGAAAAAAATGTGTTGGCGGGCTAACCCGTAATATTGTTATATTATTACCTACAAATCAGCGAAAGGGTAACGGGAGACCAGAGAAAGTGTAAAGTATTGTGAATTAAAAGGTCACAAAACCATGAGAGACAAGTAATTGTGAATGATCAAAGGATAATAAGTATCATAAAAAGGAGATCATGCTTGTGATAAAAGTAATGTGGTAAAGGAACACACTTGAGGATTCTTGGGAGCGGGAGGATGAGATTCTCCGACTGTGTCCTGAATTAGCGGATAAGTATGAGTTAATTTTGCGGATAAAATTCTAAAAGTTGGGGTGAGTATAACACCTCACATTTCTAAAATTTAATATTTAAAATATTAAGTGAGTATTTAAGTGAAGGATTAATGAAAATCCTGAAGATTAGGCTAAAATACAAAGAAAGGACAAAATGGTAATTAGCCAACACGCAACCCTAGGAAGATAAAAATTGAGTAGAGGTCTCAGATGGTAAAAATAACCCTGGAAATGGATTCAGAACGAAAAATTGAGTGGATAGGCAAGTTTCAGAAAAATCAGTGAATAGTGTTTTTCGCGGGTAAAAATATTGCGTTATGATTGCACCGTAAAACGTGCCAGTTGAATTTTGAGCTCTAGGTTTCAAATATGAGTTAAAAATGGTCTATTGAGTTAGAAAATATGTTTGTTGATAAAATTTGATGAAAGTAAGTCATTTTGGGGAAGCGTGCCAACGGCGCGCGCAATAGCTTAAAACAGTGTTTTCTCCGAACGAATGGAGGACTCTGAATTCATCTGATCAAGCCTAATTAAAGGGGAATAGTTAATGTTAAAAATTAGAGTTTCTAAATAGGCTTTGAATTTATGGACGTTTAGTGGCATCAGAGGAAAATTCAAATGAGTTTGAAATTGCGTGAGGTGGCGGTGGGACCCACCCCACTTAAGCCACATCATCCTAGGACACTATTCATCATCTTCTATTCCCTCCTCCTTCATGAAACCCGCAGCCCCTCCCCCAAAAACCTCATTTGCATTCAAAATTTCATTTCACCATAACTTGATCATTTCTTAACCAAATCAAGTGATTTTTGTGTTGAAATTAGTTGGAAACAACCTTCTAAACACATTGGTACCACTCTTGAGCCTTGAAACCATGTATTTGGGGAGATCCTTGGCATTTTCAGTTCTGAATTTGTGAGGAAAAATGGAGGTTCATGGAGTCATTTGAGCTTCCATTGCTTGGAGGAGTCTTGGGTTAGCATTTAGCCTTGATTGTGAGTGTATTTCCATCCCATTTACATGGTTTAATTGTAGTTTATTTTCATGAACCCTACACCTTAATTTCATGATTAGTGATGTTAGGTAGCTCAATTGGAAAATGTGTATTAGATGATAATGTCTTAGAATGATATGTTAGAGCTAGAAATGTCATGAAAATTATGAAAATTTAACTTAGAAATTTTGAGGAATGTCATGACTTTGAGTTTTGAAATTTTGTTGCGCTTTGATTGGTGAGTTGTGGTGTGATTATATGATGATATAGTGTGATTGGTTGAGGTGTGAAATGGTTGAAATTGATTGGAAACCCCTTTGAGTGTCATAGGACACAATTCGACCCTTTGAGGAAAAATGAGTGAATTGATGTTGAAAAATGATTTGGATGATGATTTGTGTAGTAATATGGTACTTTTTTTTTTGTAAATAGTAATATGGTACTTAGATGGGTTGTGTGGTGGTTGGAAAGCGTTAGAATCAATGGAAAAATAATAACTTGTGTTAGGGACCTAAATGAACCTAGAGTGAATTATTACGCAAAACGATGAGTAAAAGACGTAAAACGTAAAAACGACACTTGAATTGGTCTTATGGCAACCTAAGGATGAGTAATAAAATGAGAAAGAAAATTTAGAAAAATAAATCTCCAAATAACACTTGAATGGCCGAACCATCAAGGGAGGATGGGGAAGATTTTGTGAATTTTGCGTTTTGACGTTATTTGACGCGTACTGATGGCTGTACGTGATTGTATAGGTTGCCGTACGTCGACTTGAATCCCGAACCTATTATATTTCAAGAAATCTAATAGAGAAATCTATTTATATTTCAAGACACTACAATAGAGAAATCTCAAGAAATCCTAGGGGTTAGGGTGAGATTTTGATAGATACATTCTATTTATATTTCTCACTAAAAAGTCTCATGAAATCCACACTAATAGAAAACACATTAAAATCGTCAGATTTTTGAATACCATAAGATTATTTTTTCTTTGTTTAGAATTCTGATTGAATACCAAGGGATTTGGACGTACTCTAAAATAATCTTTTAAAATCCTAATTGAATATCACGTGTCTTTTTTTTAATCCTTTAAAATCCTAATTGAATACCAATGGATTTTTTTGTCCAAAAATAATCCATTAAAATCATTTGAAATCTCAATCCAATACATCCCCTTAGTTTTAGCATTTTAACTTGTGTATTACTCGTGCGATGCACAGGGAAAGATCAAAAAGTTTGTCGACGACCTGCGATGCACAGGGAAAGATCAAAAAGTTTGTCGACGACCATCGTGGATTAATTTATAAAAGAAAGAACGTGTCACTATTTCTCTCTCTCTCTCTCTCTCTCTCTATATATATATATATATATATATATATATATATATATTAGTGTATTACCAGTGCGATGCACGAAGGAAAAAAATCAGTTTGTCTGTCTCGTAAAAATTAATGCACATTGTAAAAGTATACCGCTGTATTTTATGCAATTAAGATAATGAATGGTCTTCTAGATTACCACATTTTACTTGAACTATATATGAAGTATTTGTTAGGATATTAAATGCACTAACTCAAATATTTGTCAACTCTACAGGTACAAAAAGTTGAATTAGGTACCTCAAAGTGTTAGTTAGAAGTAATGGCCCACCGGATTGAATCCATTTTGTCATCTCTAATTGTAACATGGTTTGTTAGACAATAAATATAAGAGGAAAAAATGTGTTGGCGGGCTAACCCTCCAGTTTGGCGAGTGGGGTTGGCCGGTCCTCCAGGCCAAGCCCATTTTGCCACCTCTAACTATCAGCATTTTATATCAACATGTAATAAATGAAGAGTTGTCTCTAAATTGACTTTTCTTAAGTGTGTGTATTTGTGACATATATATTAGATGAAGAGTTGGCAAATATTTGAGTTATTACGTTTAATATTCTAACAAACACTCAGCCACACAAAGACGTGTTTGTTAGACAGTAAATGTGTTGGCGGGCGGGGGAGGGTAACCCGGTTGGCTACCCCTAACTGTCAACATTTTATGTCAGCATGTAAAGTTTTTATATTTAAAAATAATAAGTTATGCCTAATTTAAATTTTAAAGTCACATATAATTTTAAAAAATAAATATAATTATAAGTGTAGTTTTACTTTGGTTTTAAGTATATATATTCAATTATTTGGTTTTATTTTCCAAAAAAATAACTAGTATTACTCCATAATTCGATATCATGACTATTTTTTTTATTGTAATTGTACTAACAAGTTTTGTGGGTATCACAAAATCTATTGGCATTACAAAATTTTGAAAATTTTAGAGTAAAATTTTAGAAGACATAACATTTGACTTGGGTGTCCGAATCATGTGTTTTTTTGTGCTATTTTTTTTTTCATTTGGAGATTTGGTCCAAAAAATGTTTCTTTATGCTTTGTTTGACATATTTTATCCTTGTGAGATGATGTTATTTAAATTTTTACTTTCAAATACAAACAAAAAATCCTCTAAGAATTTTCCAATGCGTAGCTCTCAAAAAACTACGTGGAATAAAAAAAAACACTTGATTCATACACTCAAGTCAAAAAAAATAGTCTTATGAAGTTTTACGATTATTTTTTTTTCACTAGATTTTTTGGGTCAAACAAAGGTATAAGTTATATTTACTACCATTTTTTCTTACTACTTCTTAATACTAACTTTGTTATTATTTGATCAAAATCAAATCAACAGTTACAAAATAACATTAAGTGAGAACCGTTGATTTGATTTTGATCAAACGATAACAAAGTTGGTAATAAGAAGTAGTAAAAAATAAATAATAGTAAGTATAACCTCCCTCCTCAAACAAGTTTCTATAGTTATATACTCATAATATTGTACTCGACTCGAGTAACCCGAGGAGGAGCTTTGTGGGTATCACAAAACCTATTGGCATTACAAAATTTTGAAAATTTTAGAATAAAACTTCGGAAGGTCATAACTTTTGACTCGAGTTTCCGAATCAGGTAATTTTTTTTATTTCACATAACTTTTCGAGAATTAAGCATTGAAAAATTTTCGTAGAAAATTTGGTCTCATTTACTCGAGTACATGACCCATATACTCGAGTATATTGCGTGGAACAACAAATACTCAAGTATCTGAGTCCTATACTCGAGCGTAAACTCATGACACTTGATTTACTCCAGTATGAAGGTCACATACTCGAATATATAGGCCTGTCAACAGTCAAATATGGATGATGTTATGTTTAAAGAAAATGTAGTATTTTTGAAATAGTTTAAAAATGGAGACAAAATAATATTTTTTTTATATAATTAAAAGCACAACGGTGAAAAAAAAAACTGAAATCTTTCCGTTGAAGAAAAACTAGAACGAGCCCAGCAGGCTTGGCTTAGTTGGTATTAGACTATTAGGGGGCGTTTGGTACACGTCATTCTTCAAGATTTTCGGGAAACTGAATTTTTTTAAATTTTAAATTTTCGGATATTATCGTAAACTGAACGTAAAAATCATATTTTTGAAAATTAAGATTCCTGGATATTATGTCATCTATCATCATCACTCATTATTGTATTATGTCACGAGCTTCTTAAATTAATAGATGTGTTGAATCTTTTTAATTTACCTCTTAGTTTAATTTTTGTTTGCCTTTTTTATTATTATTATAGATAGCATATTTTTAATTTTTAATTTTGCAATGTAGTTTTTTTTGTATACTGCAATGTAATCTAAGGAGGGTTATTCTTATTTATAATTAATTTAAACACTATTAAATTTAATGACTATCAATCAATTTTTATTGTCCTAATTTTTTTACCCTTTCATTTTCTCTCACATTCACCTTCTCTCTAGGTCTTCCAATTGAGGATAGGGAATCACATGTCGATTTTCAGGGAAAATTGGATTGAGAAAGTGAAAGTGAACAGAAGGTGGGTTTCAAAACTTGAAAGGGATTAGGGGAGTGATTTCATTTTTACCAAAAAACGAAATAAATTTTGGAGAGATGGAAGGCTTCTTGTAGAGCATCAAGCAAGCAGGAACTGGAAAAACGTGGTACATGGTCGGTGTTTATGGCTAGAACTTGCGCATTTGCGGTTGAAGTCTGAAAAAGAAAATAAAAAAAATAAAAGAGTTTTTATTGGAATTCAGCTATTTATTATTTTGCTTGTACGATGAAAACCACAATTCATTTCTGTAACACAAATTATGATGATGTTTCTTCCAAAAAAATCTGGGAAATTCATGATGCTATATTGCTCATAAAATAAAAACAAAAATGCCGTTGTAATCCAAAATGTCGTTCACAACTTCATCACGTGCAACTGTGAAGCACCGACACTTCAAAAATCCTACGTGTCGTGTCCGACACTCACTGACACTTTTCGACACTCAAATACTCGTTGCAAAGACTCAAAAAAGATTCAAAGGTTACATTGCATTGTATTTTGTGTTCCAACTATTAGATTCGTTAAATTACGATTATGATTTTATAGAGTTTAATATAAATATTTGGGATATTTTATGTTTCTTTGCAAAATTGATGGGTATTATAAGTTTAGATTTATTTTTTTGTTAAGTTATAGAATATAAATATAATATACACTACATAAAGTAAAAATATTATATAATATCAAAACGTGTCCTAACGTGTCAAAATTTAATATTTTTTAGAATTAACGTGTCGAAGTGTCGTATCCCGTGTCGAAGTGTCGGTATCGGTGCAACATAGACGTGCAATTGGAAGATCTCGATGGAAAGAGGATTGTCACATAAGGTGAAGGTGAAAGAATGAAAGGGTAAAATATTAGCATTATAATTTAATTTTAATTTAACAATAATTAAATTGGTTGTAAAGGTGATAAACTTCCTTAGTGGTAAGTATAACTCTCCCCTTGTAATTTTAGTTAAAATTTCAAGTGTTATATAATTTCTTTTTATAAATAACTTGGAGATATCCTAACACAACCTCCTCCTGTCACCTTATTTTTAGAGTACGGTCCTTAAGGTCAGTTTCTGATTGAAACAAAAAATGCATTGGACCAATATCATATCATCGAAAATCAAAACAAATTCTTGAGCATTCAGTTGCCAACTAAGCTACTCTTGGGATTCGTGTTACTATGACTTTAATTATTTAAAAATTAACATTGCAATATTGATGTGCAAAGTGGTGATGATTTCTGAAATTTAAAAGGGATTTGTAGATTGGCAGAAAAACTAGTAGAAACTAGTAAGCATCTTGTTTATCCATTTGTATATTCATTTATAGGAGAAGAACTTATCATGTTGCAGGATAAGTTATCTCTCTTCTTGCAAAAAAAATAAAAATGGAGAGAGAGTAGAACCAAGAACGATAAAATAAAATATGCGAACCTCACTTCTTATATGTGTTTGCAGGAAAGTTGAATTTTTTCCTATAACATGATACATATATAACCCTTCATTTATTTATGAAATTGGCAATGATTTTACTTGTTATTAGTCCAAAGAAGATTGCTATAAGATTTAGCTGATATAATGTTCTAGACTTCTAGTTGTCAACTGTTACTCAAATTTAAATTACAAACAAAGATATTTCCAAAAAAAAAAATTACAAACAAAGATGGTTTTAATCCCATAAAAAAAGTACAGGATTATATATTCCTCAGAAGAAAGCCACGTATACAAATCAAAAAGTGAAAACGAAGGGCAAACAATATTATGAGGTAAGCAAACTGTAAAAGTATAAAACTACTGTGGAGAAACTCGTCCTAACTCTTTTTCTTTGTTAGATTTATTATTCTTGTTGTTATTATGAGCATCACGTTTTATAACAACTTGCTTCCATAAAAGATTGGCATACTCCGGATGATCAACAAAAGGATTCCGATTATGCTGATAAAGTTTGCATATTCTTTCATTTCTCAGCTTCTCTTCCCTCGAGGGTGGATCAACTTCATTCCATTTTAATAATGTGGAAAGCAGCCCCATTTCCCTGTTTTCTGCAGTAAAGAGATCATATTAATTTCCACTTGAAAGACATAACATAAATTTCAACTTACAACAAAAGTAAGCTACCAAAATCATATGAATCAACTAGAGAATTTAGAAGGACAAGATATAATAATACACAAGCACCATTGTTATTTTCTACTTTCGTACTATTAAATCAAAACCTAATGAAAAAACAGAAGTTATCTGAAGCAAATAGGAGTTGCAATGTACAAAAACTAAACCTCAGAGCAAACTTTACTTTCAAGCTCATGTCCATTTAGACAGTAACAGCATAATCAAAACTAAATCTTTTCTTTAGATAGCGACCGGTGTACAAAACCTTAACGGGCCGGACTAAACCCACCTCTCCGTATCAGATACCAATTTTTAAAGATTCATATATCTATGACTAAATATGAGCTTGAGACTATAAAATCACTATTAAAAGTTAAATATAACATGAGGTGATAAAACTATTCATCTAATAACAAGCAAGATAAATACACTGGAAATTTGACCAACACTTTATGAGGTATGTAAATTCCCCCTTGGGATTTTAAGTCAAAATCCAAATATTATAGTTGAATGATAATTGTAATAGTCCAACCTACCAACACGTGGAGTATCCGAGAGGCGAAGACCTGGACTTCCCCCTGGTTGTTCAAACCCATAACAGACTGCCATGTACATTATTGCCCTTGCGATGTCCCCTCTAACCTGAGGTCAGTTTACACACACACACACACACACATATATATATATATATGTTGGGTGAATCAACAATAAATTAATTATTCAGGTGAAGAGACATCAGTGATAAATTACAAATAGATGTAGTACTGAAATTTCACTATCTATAGAGACTCCTTTTAAAAGCTGATATTGGTTCGCAAGGTACAAGTTCCTTGTGAAAATCAGTTAAAAGGGTTTGAATTAAGTCCTAACATCATAAGCTTAGTATAGTCGAGCAAAATGCTCCAACCCCAGTCCAATACGCCAATAACCAAAATATCTCAGATGATATAATCTGAACGGTGGGCAGGGTAAAATAAAATTAACATATGGCCCAACTACCAAGCCAGATACCATCAAATTTCAAGCATGATCAGCAATCAACTATAAGGGTTTAAAACTGACAATCAAAAACAAAAATGAATGACAGAAAAGATAACCTGCATAGGTGGTGCCCACCTCTCCTTGTCTGTTTCAGTGTCCAAAGCAGCTTCTTTGTTGGCTGGCCTCAAACATTTGGTCGAGCTAGTCATGCATTCACCATAGAACTTGTTTCCCCTTGATGAATTGACTGAGTGAAACTTGTAATAACATCAACTGAAATTGCAACCTTGACTAGTAAAATATTGAGCAGTGATTTTCCTTACCATTTACATCAGCGGGGCGAATGTTGTGTAAATCAGTCAAAGATGGACCATTAGTCAGCCCATAAGAACGAGGCCATAGATGCTCCCCTGTAACAAAACAAAACTTTTACGTAAATTAAGTGAATCTCTCTCTCTGAATATATATTGTGTGTATGTTGTTGGTTGCATAAACTTAACCTTAATACAGCTATAGGAGACCTTAAGCAATATAAAATGATATTCATTTAAGTTCAGGAACTGTCATAGATCAAGTGTTTGAAACAAGTTTCATATACAGTTATACACTAGTTAAAAAGTTAAGGACAAATCTTGCTACTTTGGCATGACCTAAAAAGGGGGCTTGATCAAGCACACGTTTGTTTTTTCATTAAACATACATTTACCCTTTTGTTACAAAAAATATCAACGCGCTACAAAAAGGGCAAGGAGAAACATCTGAGAAACCATAAGAGAATTTAGACTAGAGAGAAACTAACATTAAAATCATGGTAAGTCCAACAAATTGATTAGTTGACTCACTATTCCACCCCGATGGTTTTCCCGATAACCGTTTCGGAACAACTCTTAAGGAGTATATTTCAACTCTGCATATCATGAATCATAAGGTATATAAAAATCAGCTATTATGACAAACAGAAGACATCACTAAATGCCAAATATAAAGCAATAAAAGCCACGATAAGTATCTGGTTATCAATATATACATTCCCGATGAAGCTTCTGGTTGATCAATATCAGCAGCATCAAGAACCTTGAGGGCATCCCACACCTGTTAATTAGATAAGCATTTCACATCTATAGATTTGAAACACCTTACAGAACAGAACTCTTTAGGCAACCAAATCAAGATTTAAATCAAAATTGACCTCTTGGTAGGACAAGGAATGATGTGGGGCAATGATGCTATTCAATTTTCCTTTTAGTGCTTCACCTCTTAATCTTAAATGCTTCTTCACAGGGGAATAGTAATTGCTAATATCCTCACAGGCATAAGCAGAGGGAGCTGGATACTCAGAAGCTGCAGCAACCAGATTCATAGATAGCAAGTAAAACGAGATAAATCTAGAAACCCATCTCCACCCGATATTAAAACACGTTTGCCACGTCTGTCCCCTTGAGGCCCTAAAGAAAAAAAGAAAAAGAAAAGGTTAATAGTAGTTAGCTTCACAATCACAATTCACAACACAAATTTTGTATCTAAATAATTAAGAAGGCACAAACCTCTCATACATATTTTTAGAAATTGGAATCGGCGGTTTTAGACAGTTTGCACGGACAGCCAAATGGCGCCGCCGCCGCCACATCGATGTTTGTCTTGCCGTTATGTGAAGTTCAAGTGTTCCCATTCCCGACAAGTGTATCAACTGACATGTGGCTGTCCTCATATTTGCAAAAGATTTGGTATGAATGAATAAAGGTCCTGCATTCTCAGTATCAGATAAATATAGATAATTTTTTTTTTATACCTTTATTTTATATTTTGCTTTTAAACCCTTAACTTCAGCTTAATTATTTCCAAATTACCATTTAGTAATTATTTTTCAAAATATTATTAATTTGTACCTTAAATGATTTTTTTATTTTTTTTTTCTCCCTTACATCAATTATTTGACTTGCGTAATTAATATGCACATGTTTACGCGACTAACTTAATTAATAGCAATTAATATTATTAAGGCATGAGAATTGAGAAGTAGATGAATGAATGATTAAAATTAAAAGCGAGAAATAAAAACGAAGAGGGTGGTGAGTGGTGAGAATGAATAGGTGCATGTCATCTGAGTAGGCATTAAAGGTGGACCATAAAACGAGATTCACAGAATGTGACAATGGGAGCCGAAGCCGAACCAATATTTGAGGAAAAGGGAAGAAGTGGAAGAGGAAGAGGAAGAGGATTCAAAACCTCATACTGTATTTGAATTATTGGCAGCAAAACGAAGGGTGGGGGACCTCGTGGAATGTGCCAGCATAAGACGCTTGGCACCTCCCATCAACCAACGTGTTATAGGTTTCGGTGCCTTTCTCTTTCGTTAAATGCTTCATCATCATCAACCTTATATCTTATTATTATACCATGATTTGATATCATTATATACCTTGTCTGTGTTTGCGCCAGATCACTTCACAGATGGATTGGTGGCATAAAATTAGAAGAACTTGGACTGCACTCTCCACCCGAATCAAGCTTAGAAAAACTGGTGGGTCCTCTATTCCCTTCTATTATTCTTATTTAATTGTTTCATTTTCAAACATCCATTCATTTATTTTAATTCATTTTATTCATTTTATTATATGTAGCAGCAGGGGTTCCCGGAGGACGAGGCGGAAGTGTGGGTGAATACGGCGGAGATTCTGGCGGAGCTTGTGCCGGTCTACTGAAACTTCGAGATGATGTACAAATGTGCGGGTACAGAGATGTGGAAGTGATGTGGGACATGTTAAGCATAAGCCCGAAGCCAGAGCAAACGGAAGCATCGCGATGCACCACCGCGAAACTTTCCAAACGTAGATCCATTTCGAGGCTTTTCTTTTGGACTAAGTACCATAGTCCATAATTTGATCTACACTTCTTGCAGTGGCTGATTGTATAGGATTGTGAATGTCTTGTACATGCAATATAGTTTAAGGAGAATGAATCTTTATTTCTTTATAGTTTGTAAATAACATAATTAGTTCGAGTCTGAGTTTTCTCTGCACCGCAATTATTGCTGTTTTGGTATTATTATATAATACAAGGAATCTTTCTCCTTGTCCCTCAGTTCACGGATCAGTGAAAGAAGCATCTCTCTGTTAATTCTAAATTAGGTACCACCGCTATAGAGAGGTGTTTGGGCCCACGGTATTTCATTTCATATTCATCTTTTCTGGCTTTATTTTGTCTTTCTTTTTTTCACATTTTCTTTTTACCCTATTTGTGTGTTTGGCACGAAAGTTATTTTTCACCTTGCATGAATTAAAATGTCATATTACAATGCTAATGAAACCATTGGAAAGATTTTGTCCAATCAATGAACAATTTGTGTCACATAAATGCAATCATATCTGATATGCTTTTGTTGCCGGTAGCTCGGTTTTTCTTTTGGACTAACCAGAAATCCATAATTTGACAACAGCTTAGAATAGTTGCAACTTGCACGCATTGCGAACCCAGCTAAAATTTATTGATTTCCTTTGTCACCCTTTACTGAAATTCTGAGAACTCTAAAAGGAAGTTGTGTTTCTTGTTAAGTTCTACCCTATATCAGGGGTATGAGACCCCAGCTAGGCAGGTAACAATAACAATAAGAATAATTTCTCAATCATTTGATACAAAATTTAAAAGTGGGATTTGATTCACTTCCAGACATGCTTTCTTGTGCTTTTAACATACGGCTACAATTGTTGCAAGAAGCCCCTTAAACAATATGTTTTTCTATGTTTTCTGTATTTTCTGTTGATTAATCAATAAATATTCTATACATTATTATTTATCATTAAATATATCAATTTTTTTTTAATAAAAATCAATTATGTATATGCCTTTCTTCTTTATTAGTTTTAAATATAAATAGTACTATAAAAGAGATTTAAAATTATAAAAAAATAATATGCTTAACTAATTAAAATTTGAATTTAATTTAATCACTCTCAATATGATGAATTATAATTTAATTTAAAGGATAAATTATCGAGTTGAAAATTATGATTGTTCTTTTTCATTCTTTTATAACAGTATTTCAAACAAGGATAATAAAATTCATTCCGTGTTGTTCCCTTATTTTATTTTGAATAACTTCATTTTGTGATTATATGGTTTATCACTTAGACCAATTACAAAATTAAAGTATCACGTATATCCATTGTGGTTATAAAAATGTATCTCTTAGATCTCTTGTGATCTTTACATATATACATAAGGAAGCTCATGCACGTGCGCGCACACAAATATATATATATTTAAATGTATCGTATAGACATTTGATTCATGATAAAAATTAATATTTTATTTGAATTAAATTCATTAGATGATACACATTTAAATCTTGTGGTATTATATTTCTATTGTAAACTTAAATTTAAATCAAATATTATATTATTTTATATTATTATAATATTTTAAAAAATCAAAATAAATAATTTTTAATAATAAAATAAATAATTTTTTTTTGGTGTGGATAAATAATTTATTTAACTAATACGTATTTAATTTATCTTGAATAATATTCTCAATTTTAAATATTTTTTTACATAACTAAAATATTTAAGATGATTTTTGAAATAGTTTCAAAATAAATAACTTTAAATATTTTTTAAGTTTAATCATTAATGTAAAAAAAAAAAATTAAGATGATTTTTAAAATAATTTCAAAATAAATAACTTTAAATATTTTTTAAGTTTAATCATTAATAATTAATTTTATTAAAATTTTATTCGATAATATCAAATTTATATAAAATAAAAGTTAGACAAAATATTATATTTATAAGACCATCAGAGTCTAAGTGATATTTTTTTTTTACTATAATGGATGTAAGTCAACATTTGAAATCACAAGAATTAAATGATAAATTTATTTAATTACAATGTGTATGAATAATAAATTTGAAACCGATTACCAAAATAAAAATAAAAATTGAAACCACAAAAGGGTAACTGATAAACTGTTAAACTACAAGGGCTAAAAATTAAAAATTTCCTATATTTTTTTTAGTACTATGTAGTTCCCTTATTAATCTTTGGAACAAAATGAAAGATAATTTTCGTCTATTTATTTCTACGTACTCGTACCCAATATAAGTTAACAATGACTATTCGTGAGGATAAACTAAAAGATTAAATTACTTATGGATAATATAGAAGTATAGTGACTGAGATTTGGGGGCAACAAATATTAATGTTAAAAAATTGAAAGGAATTATTTTGAGAGCATAAATTTCAAGATTTTGGAAAATAAAATTAACTTTTAATATAAAATAAAAAAATTAAATTAAATATTTTAATAATATAAATAACTAAGATTGAAGAAAAATAAATTTGTAAAAAAGTATAAAAGTAATTAATGATTTAAAAAAATAAAATTTCAGAACAAAAAATAAATTTTTTTTGAAGAATATAAATAGTTAAAAATTATGAAAAAATGTTAACATATAATTTTCGTAAAAATAAATAATAATTCCTATTTTTTTTTTTTAAAATATTTATAATGATAACACTGAAATGAATAACAATTAAGTTATAAAAAAGGAGTATAATTAAGTCAAATTAGTGACACTGATGCGTAGGGGTATAAATAAGCTGGGTTGGGCTGGGCTTTGGTCTTCTTGGCCCAAGCCCACGTAAAAAAAAAATTTAGCTTATCAGACCTACTGGCCTATCAAAGTCTTTATTTATAGGGCAAACTCGACTTATTTTTAAAAATAAGAAAGCCCGATATGGCCTTCAGGCCTTGTAGGCCTACCACTGTAGATTAAGCAAAGATAATAAGAAAGTTTCATTCATGAATGCACTAGTACTTCTCATAAGAAAAAAAATAACAAACAAGAAAGAGTCAACATAATACCCCAGTTTTAGAATGTATATCATAGAGGAATAGAGTCAAAGAAATGGGGAAAATAAGAAAAATAAAATTATTGGGTGCTAAAATAAAGTCTACAAGAGAATATCATTCATCTAAAATTTAAAGTTGATATTGATACTTTGTCATGTCAAATAAAATAAATATTATTTTATTTTTAATAAATTAAATAGGCCAGCCTACTTTAAGCTAAACTTGACAAAATTGAGCCTATTTGTTAAAATTTCTTTCTTAAAAAGCTAAGTGCCTATTTGGATCCTCTTATTTTTAAGCTAGGAGCTACTTATAAGCATAAGCAAGGTCAAACAGGTTTTGGAAAAAGCTCTTATAACGAAAAACTCTTTTTTTTATAATGAAGAAAAAGCTGAAAATTAAAAGCTCCAAGGAGGAGCTTTTTTTTAGCTCTTATCTGTTTTTCTTGAATTGTGTGCTTTTTTTTAAATGAAGAGTGATAAAGATAGAGAGAGAGAGATAATTTTCTTGAAATATGTGCTTTTAAGTAATTTTTAAGCTAAATTTTTTATGTAATTTTCAAACAGCTTTTAGCTTCTTTTTTGAAGCTCTTTTTTTAGCTTTAGCTTATAAGTAGCTTCTAGCTTAAAAATAAGAAGATCCAAACAGGCTCTAAGTATACTCTACTTTTATAAAAGACCGCAGTAAACCATACTTAATGTAGGCGGGTTAGGCAGCTTGGCGCATTTACACCGCTGCTGACAGGGGTTTCGAGAGCACTAAGGAAACATAGCACTTTGTTGTTGTAAGTGATCTGAGAGGGAAGAGGAAGAAGGAAGCAATTAGCAATGGCATACATGAGCATGGGGGAAGCCCATAGAAGGATCATCGACTTTCTGAATCGGTTTTCCGACGCTGTTTCTTCCCAAGACGGTGCTTCCTTCAAGTCTCTCTTCGCTATCTCCTCCAATTCGCACTTCCTTCTTTCTCTCGCCGACGCACTCAACCTCTTCCAGGACGCCAATAGACTCATCAACCACTCCGATAACTACTCTCAGTTCTCAGACATCCTTCTTCCTCTTTTCCGATCCCTCCAATACTACAGACAAAACAACTTGCTTGAAGCCTATCACGCTTTTGAAAAAACTGCCAAGTAATTTTCTCTACTATTTTATTATTATTTTAATTGAATTGAATTTCTCGTGTGCTGAAACGGTGGGAGTTCAGTGCGTTTATCCAGGAGTTTCGCAATTGGGATTCCGCATGGGCTCTGGAAGCTTTGTACGTCATCGTTTACGATATTAGGGTTCTTGCTGAGAAGGTATGTAAGATGCTGAATTAATTGAATTTATTTTATTTTATTTTTTTAATTTCTGGAAATTTAGTTGGTTTGTGATATCTTGTTTTATTCAAGTTCAGATTTTTGTGTTGTTCTTTTCGCTTTTAGGCCGATAAAGAGTTGGCTTCAAATGGGAAATCTCCCGAGAAGTTGAAAGGCGCCGGTTCTTTCCTTATGAAAGTTTTTGGCGCCCTTGCGGTATGTAGATATTTCCATAGCACTCTTCTTCTTTCAATCAAACTCATCTTTTGAAATCCAAAGTAATTGTGTTCTGTTAATTCGTATACTGCGTTATCCACACTGTTAAACACTTGCAAAGGATGACTACCTACCTAGATTTAATACTTTCTCTCTCTCTCTCTTTTTTTTAATTTTAATTTTTTTTTTCTTGTTGAAAAGCTCACCAATAATGCTACTGTGTACATATCTTCCTTCATCTTAGATATCAAAATAAGCTGTTTTGTAAGTTTCTTTTTGGAAATATTTAAATGTTTTCCGCAAAAAGTTAATAAGCTTGTCATTGCGTCCTAATGCACTTTCTTCCCCTTTAGAACTAGATGGTGAAAGAGGTCATGGGATTAGAACTCAATAAACACATGAGAGTTAGAAGTAAAGGATGAAAATAAACATAAAAATATTTGTTATGATTAGCTCTGTTTGTTGTCTATAATTTGGCCATTTTTTAACCTATTTGTTCGTGTGATACTCTCAGAAAAGAATTAATTCTGTGTCTACATAGTCTTCTACTTACTTTGGAAGAAAGCCAAATTTTTAATCATATCAATCCTTTCTAAGGAAAGATGTCCACGCCTTGTGTTTTTATTGGATTTGGGCAACATATACTTCTATCTATGCTGCATTAAATGGTTGTGTGCAGTTTTACTATCATAGCTACTCTACTAACTCTTTCATAGCTTGCTTGTATTCCAGGGAAAAGGCTCTAAGCGTGTTGGAGCATTATATGTAACTTGTCAGTTATTCAAGATTTACTTTAAGGTATTTATTTTTCCTTTTGTATCCTTATTGGTGATCCATAGTGCTCTTTTCATAATTTCATTTGTTGATTTGCAATGGCACAAGTCTGAACTTATAGCAATTGGAGTTAATCAAATATATGACTTGTTCACTAGGGTCAGGGAAGGTTGGCTAGGACAGAAATAGCATTACATCTGTGATTAAAATTAGAGTTTGATTTTCATTCTGTGAATGTCTTGCAGCTTGGTACTGTTCACCTTTGCCGCAGTATAATTAGAAGCATTGAAACTGCACGCATATTTGATTTTGAGGAATTTCCTAAAAGAGACAAGGTTAGAATTGGATTAATTTATGGGATTAACGTTTCTCCTGTCACAAGAGATAAAGTTATCTACTATAACCCCAAAATGACATTGTTTTGGGGTTAAATATTAAAAATAAAGGGTATTTTAGTAAAGTTCATGATTCCAAGAGGAATGAATTTTTTTCAAAATACCCTTTATTTTAATCTTTAACCCCAAAATGATGTTGTTTTGGGGCTGCAGGAGATAACTTTATCTCCTGTGATAGGAGAAACGTTTTTCCCTTAATTTATATATGCATATATTTTCTAGATTATTTATCGTTATGATGTGTTTCAGGTCACTTACATGTACTATACCGGTCGTCTCGAAGTTTTCAATGAAAATTTTCCTGCTGTAAGTGATATTAATCTCTTTTAAAATAATCTATGACATGCTTGTGTTTAGAGGTGGCAAAGTGGGCAGCCCGCCCCGCCAACCCGCCTATATATATTTTTTTTAAAAGTTTTTTTTTCTTTCTTTCATTTTCTTCCCTTTTTTATTATTTAATTATAATAAAAAAGTAAAATGAAAAAGAAAAAGCGGGTAGTTAATTGTTGAGACGTGGGTTGTGGCGTGGTGGTGATTGTTGCTGATGAGGTAAGAGGTGAAGACCCATTTGTAATATCTATAGAAATAGCTCTTATCTTGTTGAAGCCTTCCATGTTTGTTCAGGAGCTTCATTCTCACATAGTACCCCCTGTTATTTGGGGGTCTTTTCTTCTCCGCCATTTCATTTAAATTCAAAGCAAAAAACCAAAAGGTAAGACCATAAGAGAGAAAGAAACCAAACTTAGATGTTGAAGGGATGAAAGGTGCAGTTTGAGTAGTTGATAGTGTGCTTTCCCATTCTGGTCTGCGAAGAAGTGGAGACAAAGAAACAGTGTCAGGAGGTGAAAGCACAAAGATTTGTTAGCGTTTCGTTTTTCCAACAAAAATAATCAAATGGGGTTTTGGTTAAATTAATGTGTTCAAAGGAAAATGGTTACAGCTTTTGTTTTTCTCTTACAGGGTCTAGTTGTATTCGAAATTCAGATTATTCCGTGATTATTGAATTGAATGGATATTTTAATAGGAGAAAGAAAAGTGGAACAAAGACAAGCCAAGAAACAGAGAGATGGATTTTGTAAGGTGTAAAAAAAAAAAAAAAGGGTTTGGTGGACTGGTGAGTTGAAAAACTCAAAATGCCCCGCCCCGTTTGGCGGGCCGGCCTGTCGGGCCGAACCCATTCCACTTGTGTTCTAGGCTCTGACACACCTTCTGCAAGTGCTATGCATGCTGGCTTTGTAATTTTCTGCAATGGTACCTTTTGGTTTTTATTCTTTGTGGTTGGTGTTGCCTTCGACCGAAAACTGTATTCCTATATGGTTGCAAGCTAAAATCAATGATCATATTGCTTTTTTATTAAAATAATAATTATATAGGTGATTACCCAGTTTGGTCACATTTTGGTAATTCCCAAAATGTCAATATACATTCAAAATCAAATAAAAAGAAAGGACATAGTAGTAAAGTAACCAAATCCTCATTTCTCACTATTTTCAAATCGTTAACTCTTTGAATAATTAAGTAAAAGAGTTCAAGAGCTGATGGGCCTGAAAGTGAGTGAGTGAGTTAGTTAGGGGGAATCTTCTAGAATATTCTTAGAGGATAGGATAAAAGGAGGGGGAAAGGTGTGGAGTGGGATATGCATGTATTGAGTGAATATTGGGGAATTGAGAATCTCTTAAGAGCCTAGGTGTGTCGATTGTAAGGATGAGCTTGGGAAGGGTTTTTTAGTGTTTGACTAATCTTTGTGTTACGTTGCTATTTTAGTGTCCTTTGGTGTTTGTAAGAGGCTCTGCCTCCATTGATTGACAGCAATAAATAGTGTGAATTTTGGGTTCCATCAATTTGATATTAGAGCGTCTTTGACCCCGGAGGTGCTTTTGGTCCTTACAAAAAAAGAAAAAGAAAATGGAAAACAAAATGAAGAAAGTGGAGAGGCGCACTCAGCTATTGGAAGAGAGGATGAGTGGAGTTGAGGATGCAATTCATCAGCTTCGATAATCGTTTTAGAGTTCCTAAACCGTGTAGATAGAAATGGATCTAACCCACGAGAAGAGGAGAGAAAGAGGAGAGTAGAGCTCAAGGCTTTGAGAAAGGAAATCTGGTCACATATCTATCTTCACACATTCATTGATTTGAGTCATACAACGACCTAAGCATCGAGGATCAAAGAAACAGAAGAAGTAGAAAAAGAAGGAAGCGAAGGAAACAAAGAAGAGAAAGAAGAAGAAGTCAAACGAGACATGGAGGAAGAAGATGCAGAAGGAGCAGAAAAATAGAAGAAAAAGAGAAAGAAGATGAAAAAGAAGCAGAAGAAAGAAACAAAGAGAAAGAAGCAGCAACAGTAGGTGGACGAAAAGGGTTACTATCAAACGGGTCAGCGTTGGGCTCACATACTAGGCTCGCTTTGACAACTCGGACTGGAAATACAAGTGGCGAGGGAGTTGGGGGTGTGGGCTCTGGAACGCGAAGTGCTCAAAGCACTTATACTCGTGGACCAAACCAAGATGGGTTTAATAGACACATTGGGCCGCAGACGAGACCCAGTGAATTAAACCCCACCCTAGGTCAAGCCATAATTGAGAATGGAGAGAGGCAAGGATCCATGCATGGTGGTTCAGTGGGAGGCGGTAGTAATGAAGACAAACGCGGCGCGTGGTACAGATTGCTGAGATGGCAGAGGTGGTGGTGGACGAAGAGGTGGCGCTAGAGTCCTTGATTATAAAGCACATGATTGAGGACAAGATTGAAAATGAATATGGACCTATGGAGTATGAAATTAGTGCTCCTGGTAAGTCTTACACTCGGTGGGCAGCATATATGGCTGTAGGACTTGGTACTGGGGTTCCATGGGTCATGTGCAAACAAGATGATGCTCTTGATCTTGTTATTAACACTTGTAACGACTTGTATTGTGATTATTTCTCTCCAAATAAGGCTTACAAACCAAAAATGTGGACTAGGTGGTTTACTAGAGTTTGGAGGTCCAGTTCCTCATAGACCTATAATGGACATGGCATTTTCAGTTGCAAGGTTTATACAGAAAGGGGGATCATTTGTCAACTATTACATATATCATGGAGCTCTCATTTGAGTATGCATAGCATGGCATGGATTACATCCAGTAGGTCCCTAAAGGGGTGGGGCAAGATTCAGGGGATATGGGTCGCCATCTTAGTTGACTCTAGGGCATTTTTCTAAGCAGTGGAGCAAACCCAGGCTTATACAGTGGAGGAGGGCGACAATCATAAAATGAAGAATCAAGGAGTATGTAAAGGATTGCTACGGCGGCTGCCAGAATTGGAAACCAAACACTTAAAGGGAGATGATTCTATCTTGGGGAATGAATGGTTAGCCATCTTTGGAGAGATTGAGGCTAACTTCAAGTAATGGGACCTAGGTAGAAATTCTCTCACATCACATATCCTTTTTCCTCACCTTGAGGACAAGGTGAGTTTTGGAGTGGGAGTATTGATGGGCCCAAAAGTGAGTGAGTTAGTTAGTTAGTTAGGGGGATTCTTCTAGAATATTCTTAGGGGGTGTTTGGTAGGAGAGTTATTTTTGGGTGCCTAGGAAAGTTGAGATGAGTTTCCTAGTTGACCATGTTTGGTAGGAAGTTTTAAAAAATTTGCTCATCATTCGGATTTGCATAGCAATCTCAGTTTGTGTAAAATTGAAAAAAATTTCCATTTCAAAATACCACCTACAGGGTGGTATTCTCGTTATCCCATCAAACCAAAAAGTAGGAAAAAAAAGCAACGGACACAAATATCCTTTCTCAAAAAACGTGCCAAAAGAAAGCTGAAGGGAGAGAATCTTCTTTGTATTTAGTCAAGGTTAGTTTGGTAATTTCATCCCATTTTCCCATCAATATTTTACCTTCAACCAAACATAGACTCAGGAAATTTAACCCAATTTGTCCGGTAATATTTCGACCTATCAAATAACTTTTTTTAACTTTTCTATCAAACTCACTTTTCCACCATATTCCTAGTAATTGTATTTCCCTGGTAAAAAAAAAAATTCTCCTCTACCAAACGCTCCCTTAGCGGATAGAATAAAAGGAGGGGGAAAGTTGTGGAGTGGGGTATGCATTTATTGATTGAATATTGGGGAATTGAGGATCTCTTAGAGCCCAGGTGTGTTGGTTCTAAGGGTGAGCTTGGAAAGGGTCTTTTAGTGTCTGATTAATCTTTGTGTTATGTTGCTATTTTAGTGTCTATTGGTGTTTGTAAGAGGCTCTGCCTCCATTGATTGACAGCAATAAACAGTGTGAATTTTGGGTTCCATCAAGAGCTAAGCACTACAAAGTGGTATGCTTGTCAGTACTCTTGTTGTTGTCGTTGTTGCCATTATTATTGTCTCATGGGTGTTTCATCTCCAATTTCACCTGAATTATACTTATATAGTTGTGCAACGTCAAAGAACATTGAAAATATACCTCTTAAATTTTATAAAATAATTTATGTAGTTTAAATTTGTATCTTGACAGGCTGATTATAAATTATCATATGCCTTGAAGCATTGCAACCCACAGAGTGAAGCCAATATAAGGTTTGGTTCAGGTGTGCCAACTTTGAACATTGCGTTTGCATGATATGAGTTTTTAGTAGGTTGTATATAATTTGATTGCAACTATACATACGCAGTAAATATGGATTTTTTTATGGACAGGTTAAGACTTGGTTTTAGAGTGTGATTGCTTGGTGCATTCTCCTTGAAATTTTTATGAATACAAACTTTTGCATATATTTTATCTCAGTTAAATACTCTTATTTGTTCTAAGCCAAAAAAGAAAAAATTATCAGTAAGAAAAATGTACCTAGTAGAGGTTGAATAACTTTGACTAAAAAAATTTGGTAGCAGGGTTATGTAATGTTAGAGATGTAATATAAAAACCATTCATGTGCATCTATCTAACAATTTAAGCTTATGGGAGAATTGGTTTATGACATGGTATCAAAGCCTCTATAACCAAGTGGTTTAGAGTGCAATCCACTTTGTCCCTATTCTTCTAATAGAAAGTTAAATTTCCGCACAAGGTAGGTGGGGCTGTGTACTATCCTTACTTTAAGATCAAAGGGCTCTTGCATGAGGCTATACATAAGAGATATAATAATATCATGTTGATCAGCAAGTAAAACATTTTGTTGATCAGTACATGTTATTCTATATGTTAAGCTCCTTATTTATGAACAAGCTCCGGTACCAGATCGGTCTGAAACAACATCTAGACTGGTAGAGATTAAGCCTTTGAATGGGATATATGCGTGAGATGTTTGCCCTGTTAATGGGCTTCAACCCCTTTATAAACCGCAAAATTCAAGTCGGAGCTTCCTACCTTGGTAAGGAGAAGAGGGATCATGTGAAAAGTGAGGGACTTTACAATTGTTCATCTTAATGTTAAAGTAGAGCGAGAAAATAAATCCATATATAACTTCCCTTGTATATTAGTCTAACGATGCATGACTTGTTTTTTTGTTTGACATAGGTTGATTCTTAAACATCTAATTCCAGTGAAGCTTTCAATAGGCATATTACCTAAACATTGGCTCTTGGAGAAGTACAAGCTACTTGAGGTATGTTAGGTGCTTTATTCATATTTGCACTTTTCCTCTCTCTCTCTCTCTCTCTCTCTTGATTAACATGAAGGTTTCTTATCTTATTTTTGTTAATTGCAAACCATTTAGAGGTTTTAGGACCAACTCAGTGATGTTTCCTTGTAAGCAGTAACCTAGTTTACTTAATGACCATGCTGACTACTAAGCTAGTTCAGACAACAGAACAAAATAGATATATAAAAAAAAAATATCTTTGAATAACCACACTTCATAACAGAATAATTTCTCTTCAAAATGCAGTCATTAATGTTTATCATGTTTATGTTGCTACGACCCAATTAGTATCACCTTTTAGAATATCATGGCCCCTATTTTTTGGGTTGCTATTTTGCTATGAAATTTGGTTATGCAAAGGGAAATTTTTAAAGAATACATCTTTCATATTAAGCCCTGGGATGGAATATGCAGTTCCTGTTTATACTGCAGGATAATTTCCCAAAGTATACATGCATCAGCTAGATTGCATTTGGTAGTTGACATTTACAGTATTTTTTACGACTTGATGTGCCTTGTAAGTGTCAATATAAATAATCTTTTTTACTTTTGGACAGTACAGTAATATTGTACAGGCTCTAAGAAGGGGTGATCTTCGACTTCTTCGGTGTGCTCTCCAAGATCATGAGGACCGGTAGAATTACCCATTATTTTTTCATGATGAGGAATTGATGTTGTTCCAAAATTTGTTCTAGAGAGCATAATTGAATTCGGATCTTTTTGTAGGTTCTTGAGGTCAGGTGTATATCTTGTCCTAGAGAAGTTAGAACTTCAAGTGTACCAGAGATTAGTAAAGAAGATGTAAGTATCCAATATCACCCTGCACCATCCCATTACAATGTAGGTTGATGAAAGACTTGTCTATTTACTCAAGTCACTAATTTCTTACTATTGCTTGGTTGTAACTTGGCAGTTACATCATTCAAAAGCAGAAGGACCCAAGCAAGGCTCACCAGGTGAAGTTGGAGGTTATTGTTAAGGCATTGAAATGGCTTGAAATTGACATGGATGTGGATGAGGTAATTTCTTTAACTTCCTCCTCGTTCTTTCCTACTTCCGATTTGTTTTTATCTTTCAAAAATAAATAAGTAGGATATTGCGGTTTACGATGTGTTTTTTGAATTGATATTTGACGGTTTTGCAGGTAGAGTGTATAATGGCCATTCTGATATATAAGAACCTCGTGAAAGGTTACTTTGCCCACAAAAGCAAAGTGGTTGTATTGAGCAAGCAAGACCCTTTCCCTAAATTAAATGGAAAACCTGTCAATTCATAGGGACAACGCCGTTCATGATTCTAAAATTCAGAGGGGCAAGAAAGTGTGGTAATGGTAGGGTAAATTTGCGATATATTTTTCAGCCATAAGTTTATTGCTTCGTTCGAGAATTACCCCAAATGTGTTCTACTCATTAAAACATCATAGCACTATTTCAGTTTTAAAGCAAGCTACTTTATCTTGGCTAACTCTTACAAATTGTATGGTAGTTTAGTTACCTCTTGTAGTGTTGTATGCTGCATAATTGCTATCAGTGGAAGCAAAAGATAGTGACCTCATTGCAACAACCTCTTTTAAGTTATGGCTATTATTATTGTTATTGTCGATGTAGTCGTCTGACGAATTACGTTAAGTTGATTAGTTATTCTTGACCTTGTAGAATAGCTTTATAAAAAAGCATTTGGTAAATAAAAAATTAACATTTATACCAAAGCAAAAGAAAGAAATTGTTTAGAATAAAAGCATGTTATGTAAGTTCGTTATACGTCAAAGTTGGACATACATTTTGATATATATTGTGTTTTTGCTTTCTGCTGGGCTTAATTACATTGAAAAAATCCCTGTTTAGAGGTACTACCCATTTTTGCTTGTCTATAATCTCCGTTTCATTTGAGTTTTGGTAAGAAGTTCTCGGGTCCATTATTTTCTGAAGGTGTACTTTTTCTAGTCTCTATAAATACATGACAAAGATTTTCTGTTTCTAAATTGAGTGACTAAGGGTGTATTTTCCTTTAAATTTTAGTAGGTTAAGATCTTAATACATTTTTAAATTAAATTAATAGTAAATATACATATTCTTATTCACTTCTTAGTTATAAACTTGGAAGTTTTATTTCACATTCATCGCCAAGGTGTTTTGCACTTGTACTTAGGTTATTCGATATTCAAACTCTTTTGTAGAGATATAAGATCCAGAACTGATATATATATATATATATATATATATATATATATATATATATATATATATGGGCTTAATATTTCTGCAGCAGCCGTAGATAGTGTTATCTACAGCTGACACAGAAAAGTGGGCCCCACGACTTTAAAAAAAAAAAACTCAGGATCCGTTGTCGTATCCTAGGATTCGGACGTGTATCCTTGCTTGTTGTAGGTACAGCAGCTGCAGAAATTATTTTGCCTATATATATATATATATATATATATATATAAGGTTGGATACTTTGACACCTTATCTTAGAGCCGTTAGATCAAAAAAGATCAATGATGTTACATATTTACAAATCAGAGTCGTTTATCTTTTTTTATCTAACGACTCTAAGATAAGGTATCAAATTTGAAATTTGACACTAGTGTCAAAGGATCCTGCCTCATATATATATATATATATATATAATATATATATATATATAGATAGAATTCTTTGATACCAGTTACAAATTTTGAAATTTGACATCAAATTTTGACCATTGATTTTCGTTAATCAACATTTATTATTTATTAGAATCAAACTTATTAATTAATATTAATTCTCAATCAATGATAACCGTTGATTGGCGAAAATCAACGGATAGGATTCGGTGTCAAATTTCAAAATTTGTAACTGGTATCAAAGAATTCTACCCATATATATATATATATATATATATATATATATATATATATAAGGATTTGATTTTCTCATATTGCATGAAAATTGAATTTTCATGTTGTGACTCAACTAGTGATGGGCTTCACATTTATTAAAAAATGGAAAATAAAAGAAAAATTTTGAACACAAATCGAAGTGATATGAAAAAATATTTTTCCATATATATATATATATATATATTATTGTCCAATTGTCCAATCTTTTTGTAGTCATGTTTTAATACTGATCGAGATATAGCTTTCTCTTTGGTCTTGCTGATTCTGAGCAAAGACAGAAGTGCAGTAGTGGAATCTCATGACGAATTTCTAAATTCCAGGCTATGAGGATTAATCCCATAAGTTCAGCCTCAAGTGGGTTACAGTATGGTAGGGATATGAGGATCCTTCAATCCATTGACCAAATTCATCTCTTAAAAATCCAACACTTGCTACACGGTTTAATGCTCTAATTGAAGCTCCATCGAATTCAACTTTTATCATCAATTTACAGGAGTTGTCCATGAATAATTCTGATGACAATATGCTAGGTGTACAAATAAAGGTCCTTTTATCATCAATCTCGTGAAGCAAGAATACCATCAATACATCTGGATATAATAACATAAGCATTTTCGGGATGCTTGAAGTTACTTTCACGAACAGATTTATTCTTCCAATACCATAAGAACCAGCAAGATGTAAAAAATATATCACGCCAGTCATAAATAGATTGCATCTGCATACAGCCTTCCAAATTATCACGCAACCAATTGACTGTTTCTGAATCAAACAAATGAGGTCGAGGGAAATATTGCAACCGATGATGAGCCCATAAATTCCTTGCATGAGTGCAATCACGTAATACATGTATAACATCTTCAACCATATTTGGACAAGAGGAACACTATGCATTTGAAGAACCCCATTTGTTGATAATGGAATTAGTAGGAAGATGTTGAAGCAAAGTTTTCCACATGAATATGTTTATACGTTCAGGCCCAACTCCAAAGTTTCTTCTAATTAAAAGGGGAGACATCATCACGAAACTACATGAGATTACAATATGCCACTTTAACTAGAGAAACGTGTGTGGTTATTCACCAAGATCAATTTGTCTTCTGCATCCTTGTTAGGAGATTGTGTTGCTGAAATAAGGTAGCAAGTATCCTCTCCAAGATACTTATTTATATATTTAGTATTCAGTATTCCATTAACCATTATTTTGAGTTGCTCAAGTAGTCAGGAGTCTTGTGATCAACCCAAAAAGTAAATCATGACCTTTGTGACTTGTTGGGATTGATCGACGTTATTTTGTGCCAAAATAACTTCGGGACTTTTACATTCTACCTGTGATTATAATGATTAAACGGAATGATTAGGTGCTTCAGGTATTCAAATTGTGTCATCGGAGAACGTCTTTCCACCAAAAAATTAATGTACACATTTCACATCAGCATCAACATTAGTAACAAAAGCAAAATAATCAGCAGACGTAAATCCACATAACGTAATTGAATTAAAAAAAAAAAAGTCACACAATGTGACTGGAAATCACAGTGGGCAACAAGAAGTCTTTGGCATAATGAATCTAGAAATTCCTTCTTGGAGAGATTTAAAGGCACTTCATTTGCAGGATAAGATAATGAAACAACGCTCGCTCGTTTATTACCATACGTATGTTAATACACCGCTCACGGGGTGTTACACCCGCATTTCCACTTGTGACAGGGACAAAGAAATCGTCATAATTTAAGTCCATTGAACTTGTGATGACTTCAGGATTTCAACGATAGCTTTGCTCTTTTGTGCAGTTCTTCCGTGAACTTCCATTGAATCTTTCCGTTTTGCATTTGCAAATAGAAAAGCTGCAAGTCATGAAATACAAATCACGGAGCAACAAATGCAAATACTGATCAGTATATTCCAGATGTTCCCTCTAAATCAAAGCCAAATGCAAGTCATATACAAACAAACTCATAAATGCTTTTACTTATGATGCAACATCATGCAACTGTCATTCTTGGACTCATACACTTAAATACAAACATCTTTGAACCCTTAAACCACCGAGTTATTCTTATTTTAAGTTTCTTTTCGAACATGACATAGTTATACGCGAGTTGCAGAAAAATCGTCTTATATAAGTCCAAATAATGCCAATTCTCCATCACAACATGCAGTTACATAATACAGCAATCATTTACCAAGAAAAGAGACTAAAAGTCTCCAAACCAATACCCATCAGCAATAACAACCTTTGAGATGCGCCAATTTTTTCCCTTATCCTCCCTCCAATGCCCCAAATACCCAAACAAAGGTTTGCACTCTATAATTTCAACCTCATCAAATTTGGATTCAAGAAGCTCCTTTCTGAATGTCATATGATCAATGTCACAAAAACACTCCATATATATTACCCTCAGACCTTAATATAGTGATAATTAATAAAGACAATCGGTAGCGTTTTGTAGCACAACCATCCATGACAACAACTAAGGATAAAATTATGAATACACAAAAAATATATAAGAAATATTTCACTACATAAAATGTAGTGTATCTTGAATGGGGTCATTTCTATTCGAACAATGCACTCGAATTGCTCTCTATAGTAAACCTTTCAAAGAAAGACAAAGGATAGCATCAACTTAGCCAATTAATCTAATACCTTAATCAAAGATATGTTTTGAAAATTTGAATGTTGTCTAAATGGATTCTTTCGAATTATCATTCTATATTTTCGTATGAAGCTAGCTTAATCATACATAGAACTTGAAAAAGGTGAATGAATGTATGTGCATGCGCCATGTGGGCATCTTTTTTAAATCAAAAGCTAAGAAAGTTGTGTTAGTCAATATATGGAACACATCTAAGGCAAAGGAGCAACAAGGAGATGAAGTACAGTAACAACAACCCATTATTCAGCAGTCCAAGAATATATTAATAATACAAAACTAACCTCCAATCCCAAAATTAGAGAGCCAGAGAAGGCGCCAAATAATCTTGCACTTCATGATTGGAGGCACATGTGGCGGCAGAACCTCTCTGATCAAAACAAATGATGATGATCACTTACTTCACTATGATGTACTTTGTACTGTGCGACCAAACAAACTTGAAATGTTCACGTTCTTGATCTTATGAGAATCACGAGACATAGACGACAGATACCATTTTGGTGTGTCTTTTCTCCTTGCTTTGTTTAATAATTCAACTGACACTCCACTTTGACTTTTTTTTTTTAAGGGTCCATTTAGTACACAGAAACATGTAACAGCTGACTAATGGGCCATAGCTACGGCCCAATGCTCGTCACACGTCCTAATGCCCAATTCAACCTAGAATCTATGATTAGTAATCCAATTGGGTTTTATTAATGTTATGTAACATAATTTAAGTGTTGTTTTCAACCCACACAATAAAAGGGAGAGAGAAAGTGGAATGATGAAAGAGAAAGAAAAATATGTGGACTCCACCTCTTTAATGTGTGTGTAGGAAAGTGAGGTTATATCATGCTACTTGATAGTTTACATGATTTTGCAACAGTGCTGATAATTACTTTTGTACTGAAATTTGACATAATTAACATAATATTTATTCATTTGTTTTTATAATTTTATTTTATTAAATTATTTTTAATAAAACTACTTATATACTTTCCGAAAACAAATGAAAAAAAAGAAGGGAGAAAAAAATAATAATTTCTCTCCTTTTTTCATAAAAAATGTGTAAAAAAAAAA